TTTTTTTTTGCAAGGCCAGCTACTTTTGAAAATGTCCGAAGTACGGCATATCATTTGCAGATTTACCTCAATGGTAGAAAGTGAATAACGATTAAACTGATCGAAAATACGGTGCATAAATAACTCGGGCCTTGGATGACCCCAGTTATTCTCACGAGCATCGATCCACTTCGCATGTTCTCCAAGTTCGCTTGCAATTTCATAGGTTGCCTGGGGATTCTTGAAGCAGTTGCGATTGATCACCACGTTACTGCAAAATGATAATTTTAAAAATTAGCTGAAAGCCAAAACCTCTACCAAATACATTGGACTTCACAAAAGGAAAGGAAGCCCGCATTTGTGATTTCTTAACTTTACAAAATCCAAGCCCTAGCTGCTCTAAAGATCTTTTTCTTTACAGAGTCCTTAGTGTTTTGTACGCTCTGTAAAGCTCGTGGGCAGCTTGACAGGTCAACACTAAATTTTGTAGTGAATGATCTCTTCCAGCAACAAGTTTCAGCTGTGAACAACCAGAACACATAATCGATGGATCACAACAATACAAAATAGTCTGCCATTGATAGCTACTGCGAAACGACCAGCGCTTGCCTTCAGACACCAGGTTACACTTAAATCATGGATCCACTGATTTAAACCAGTGCTTTAGGAGGCATCTCCATCATTAAAATGTTAAGCGTCAACAGAAAAATCAGATCAGCACAGCGTCAACAGGAAAAACAAAATTGGACAGCATGACGAGAGATACCTGCTGGAAACCACCAATGCAGCATACGGAGTAGACCGAGGATTCAGATATGGGAAAGGATTGATAACTCGATTCTCGCGCACTTCGTTCTGCTGATGAAATGTGAGATTTTGGACTGATGAACTTTCCACCATCCCAATTGATACTACGCTCTGTCCAGTGTTAAATTTGAATGAATTCTTCGAGATTACCACCTGAATGTAATTAAATCCACATGTATAAAGCGCCCATAATTTGTTCCGTTTGGAAAATGAAATATTAAATTTTTACTGTTATCGAAGTCTTTCCAGTGCCTTTAAAAACCGACGAATGATCATGAAAATAAACTAAGGTTACAGTGTTCAGTGTACTGGTATGCCTAGTTCAAATTGCATTTTTTAGAGCACATTTTTGTGAAAATCAATTTGAGCAAGCCAGCTACTGAAAAAAA